AAACATGGGCAATAAAAAAAAAAAAAAAAAAAAAAAAAAAAAAAAATACGGAAAAATGTTCTATATCACCTGGCTTGTTCATAAACTTTTGGTCCAAACGGCTCCCTTTCCATGAACGGTTAATGCGAAAGTGGTAGGTCTGCTCTTTGCGTGCTTACTTCTCTATCCACCACTCGGTTTTTTTCCAAGTCCTTTTTGTTGCCGGCGAGGGCTGAGTTTGGAGGGGGGAGGGCAAGCAAGGAATGAAAACAAATGGAACAATCAGACATAACACATCGAGCAAACACATCGCGCAGAGGCACCGCTCAGCGGGCCACTCACCTATGATGATGTCATTGGAGTGCACCGACTTCAGCTCGTGGATCCAGCCCTTGGCGCCTTCAAAAGACTTCTTATTCGTTATGTCGTACACGATGACGGCTGCTGACGCTCCCCTAAAACGTTTGAACGCAAAATGCGGAGGCACAAATTGGGACGTTCTCATAACGCGCATATGTTTAACTACACACAAGGGGGGAGGGGTAGCTAAGGCATTAGAATTTCCAACCTATTTTTCCCCACGCTTGCACAGATACATGTAAAGTGTGCCTTACCGATAATACATGGGGGCCAGACTTCTGTATCTTTCCTGCCTGTTAGGTGGGTAGGGGGAATGGAAGGGCGGTAAAAGCTTATTGGTTTGGTCACCCTTTCGGTCATCTCTCCCTTTCGTTTTTTTCCTTCCTTACCCTGCGGTGTCCCAAATTTCAAACTTGATGGTGCACTCGCCTATGTCGATCAGTTGAGTCATAAAGGCAGCTTCGGGGAAAAACAAAAGGAAAGAAACATGTTGGCATGTCAAATGAGTGTTATGAGGAGAGGGACACAGTGCAGTGCATTCCTTGTGTGTTACATGCAAAGTGTATGACCCGTTCAGGTAAAAACAAAAAAAAAAAGCACATGTTTCTTTTCTTTGGTAATTCTCCTCTTGCAGAATGAGACTTATCCGGACTTACCACCAATGGTTGACTCCTGGTACTCATAAAATTCATTCTTGGCAAATCTCACGACGATGCAGGACTTCCCTACCGATGTGTCTCCTGCACAAGTGGGGAAGCGATCGAAAAAAAAAAAAAAAAAAAAA